GAATATCTCAATCAAATCTATCAATTTAATCTGAATATGGCTCCGGGATGGTCAATGTTTGAAGTTGATGACATGACTTGGGCACATGTAGCTTCCATTTCATTTTCTAATGTTATCATCATCAGAATAGAGATAAGTTATAGATCAAGTTCATGACCCAGATTGCAAAATATGATAACTGGCAACAGCTGATGGGCAATCACACATTGTTGATCTTTACTTTAGAAAATCAGTTTTTTTAAAAATGTGGTAATTTCCAGATGTGTACAACTGATCCAAAAACAAAACAGGATCCCACCAGCATTGTAATTCTTCAATATTTACTGCAGGTCACTCATCACTGTCTGAACTGAATGCACCAGCAGAAAACAGAAATTGGAATAACATGACTACAGCTACATTTATAGAATAGAATCCCTACAGTGTGGAAGCAGGCCATTCAGCCCATTGAATCCACAATGACCCTCTGAAGAGTATCCCACCCAGACCCACACCCCTGTAACCCTGTGTTTCCCTTGGCTAACCTACCTGGCCTGCACAATCCTGGACATTATGGGCAATTTAGCACAGCCAATCCACCTAACCTGGACAGGTCTGGGCTGTGGGAGAAACTGGAGCACCCAGAGGAAACACACACAGACACGGGGAGAATGTGCAAACTCCACATAGACAGTTGACCAAGGGTGAAATCGAAACCCAGTTCCCGACACTGTGAGGCAGCAGTACTAACCACTGAGCCACTGTGCCAAATTGGTCTATTAGCCAAACAGGTTTCTACTCAATCTAGATGTAAAATGATCCTGGATTTCAATCTCATTACATTAGCTTCCTCACCAAGGAGGAGAAACAGGAAGTGAATATTGTGCTCTGGTGGCAATATCACTGGTGCTAGTAATCTAGAGACCCAAGAATTGTTTTGGGAGTGTGGGTTCAAATGCCATCATGATAGCTGGTGGAATTTCAATCCAATTAGTAAAATGTCAGTAACGACAACCATGAAGCCATCATCAACTGTTGTTTAAAAAGAAACATCTGGCTCACTAACACTCTTCATAAAAAGAAATCTACTATCCTTACTTTGTCTGGCCAGGCCAATGTTCTGGGGACATTGTTTCAAATCCCATCATGGCAAGGTGAAATTTGAGTCAATGAACATCTGGAATTAAAAGCTAGCCTAATGACAATTTGAAACCATTGTTGATTATTGTATTTAAAAAATCTCCTGGGTCACTGATGTTCTTTAGAGAAGGAAATCTGCTGTCCTTACCTGGTCTAGCCCAGGTGTGAACTCCAGACTTACACCAATGTGGTTGACGCTTAATTGGTCTCTGAAATGGCCTTAGCAATTCATTCAGTTCAGCGGCAATTAGAAATGGGTAACAAATGCTGGCCTTACCAGCGATGGTCACAGCCTAACAAAAGAAAATAAAAAATCCTGCTTGCGCACACCCATTGCTGAATGAGGACATTGAACCTCTCTCCTCTCTCTTCTGAAAATTCCAGAAACCCCGTGACCCAAAGAGTCTAGGTTTCCACAGCGAATCTCTACACAAAGTTACTGATCAGAGCTATCGCGCTAGGAAGGGATTTGCAGGGGCAAACACAGGGACAGCAGTTAATTCAGAAGTGCTGTCACATTGGCATATTCCCCAGTACTTCCCAACTGTGGATTTCATTAGGATTCACAGAGATTCACACAGTAAACATCTGAGAGTTTTCTCAGGTGGGGATAATGATTGGTGGATAGACTGATTTAAAAAGGCAAAAGGAAAGAAAATACCCAAGTTTAATGATTTGAAGGCTAAGCACATTCACAGAGCTACTCTAATGGACTCGAAATTCCAGAATTCTCCAACAAGGTAGACGTGAATTTATTACAAATATTAAATTGTAAATGTAGCTACTAAAATCAGTCACTGCTTTGTCAGTCTGATCATTTTTGCCTCTTCCAGATCAATAGAGTTAAAATTAAGACAACAGAAGGCTCTTCTGGTGTAGTGGTAATGAACTGGGATGTGCAGGTTCAAGTCCCACCTGCTCCAGAGAATTACAATACAGATGGTTTTGTGGTGCAGTGGTAGTGTCCCTACCTCTAGGCGACAAGGGCCAAGCTCAAATCCTATCTACTCAAGTGGAGTGTCATAATGCACTGGAACAGAATCATAGAATCCTTACAGTGTGGAAGCAGGCCATTTGGCCCATTGAGTGGCCCGCACCGACTCTCTGAAGAGCATCTCACCCAGACCCAACTCCTACGCTACTCCTGTAACCTGCTTTCTCCATGGCTGATCCATCTAGCCTACACATCCCTGGAAACAATGGGCAATTTAGCACGGCCAATCCACCTACCCTGCACATCTTTGGACTATGGGAGGAAACCGGAGTACCTGGAGGAAACCCTTGCAGACACGGCGAGGATGTGCAAACTCCACACAGACAGTCTCCCGAGAGTGGAATCGAACCAGGGTCCCTGGTGCTGTGAGGCAGCAGCGCTAACCACTGAGCCACCGTGCCAGGGTGATTAAAAATATTTGTGGGTCTGCTGGTGGTCGTAGCATCCCTATCACTAAACACAGAGTCCTGGGTTCAAGCTCCACCAGCTCATATTGGTCTGACTGCAGGTATTATTATACATAAATATATTATATGTAAAGTGACCAGTTTGTATGTTGTAACTTTTGCGATATTGATAATTCAAACTCCCAACTAAATTTTCCAATAGAATAGCTCGACTTGTGGCGGGACTGGGGGAACAGATCTCACATTCCATGCAAAACGTTCCGGCCTGACTTTTCACGGCTTGTTCCAGATCAATCTTTTGAATCTAATGGGTGGCCCAACCTACAAACAAAGCACTGTCAGGGCCTCTGCATCAAATAACATTAAGCACTATGCGCAGTAATTTAATAAACTGTGTAAATTTGCTTATTTATGAGCTACATGATGCTTTTGAACACACACAGGCACAGCTGCGAGAACCATATACCTCAGCAGATTTCAGTGATTTTCAATTCCCTTTGAACAGGACATAGTTTTAAACCAGGTGGATCTTTGGCAGGCAGCCTTTATTTCCTAAAAGCAGCAGCTGTCATGATCAAGTAGATTCCACATCAATTCCTCTTTATGACTCAAGTTCTTCAATCTGTCTTAGGGACTCGCGAGCAAGAAAACAAAGACGCTCACAAAGTCAGCAGCAACTGCATGGAAAAGCAGCAACGCACCAAGCTGATTTCAGCTAAAATAATTAGGAACAAATCGTCAGAGCAGTTAGCTGGAGATTCCGGATTGAAACAAAGCAGTGTTTGATGACAATTCCAGGATGGATATCTCTCAGTGATCAAAGTGATGCTCACTACATTTGATTTTATTTTGATAGAAACTATTGGGCAGAGGTTTGGGTGCAGTTACCTTATTGTTGGCAATAAATGTCAATTTCTTACATTTTCATAACCGATTAAACTCCAGTTTGTGGGAAACTAAACCAGCGGCGCATATGGTAAATTGCTGCATTGTTATACAGTTTTACATTCAGTGAAACCTTTAAGTCATTTAGCAGCACAAACATTATCCGATATTCAAATGGAGTGGGAGAAGCATATTTATGTATGCAAATTTAAACATCAAGTTTAATTATTTGATGCTACACTGGGCCTTACTTTTATTTTCTCCATTTAACATTGTCTATTGTATTAGTTTGTTCAGGAGGCATAGTTTAAACTCTTAAGGTTCAGATTTTTATTCACAGGATCATAGACACAGCAGGAGTCCCCTTCTCCCAGTGTGCTTGGGCCCACTGAAGAAGAGCCCCCAGTTTAATCTCACTTTTCAGCTCTGTAATCCTGCAGGTTATGGCAATTGAGGCATATTATTAACTGGAAATGATCGGTGACAGAGCACAAAAGGTCCTTTATATTTTTGATTTCAGTACTTTGAAGTGATGGTGTCAAGGTGAGCATTCGTTTAGCAAATATATTCACCGTGATTACTGGGATTCACCAAGGGGTCCAGAACCAGCAGTCACATTCTAAGGATATGGGCTAGGCCGTTTACTACTGAGATGAGGAGAAACTTCTTCAGCCAGTGGTGAGCCTTTGGAATTCTCTGTCACAAAATTCAGTTGAAGTCAAAAAATTGAATGTTTTCAAGAAGGCCTTAGGGTTAAGGGATCAAGGTTACCAGGGAACAGAGTTGGATGGTCAGCCATGATCACACTGAATGGCAAAGCTGGACTGAAGGGTTGAATGGCCTACTCCTGCTTTCTACATTTCTATACTAAACCCAATCTCATTTTAAAACAACCAAACATTGTCACTGTATTTAAGAAATCAAAGCTGTAATTTAAGAAATCAAAGTAAAGGCCACAGATTGTAGTTCCGGATTCTGAGGCTGAGGGACCAAAGAAGAAATCAGAAACCGCTAGAAATACTCAGGAGGTCTGGCAGCATCAGAGAAACATTAACTCTGATTTCTCTCCACAGATGCTGCCACACCTGCTGAGTTTTTCCAGCGATTTCTGATTTTGTGACCAAAGAAGGAACCTTGAAAGCCACTGAAAGTGATAATAAGAAACGAGAACTGAGGCTAGAGAAAGTGTGACTACAAATCAGTTGGTGCCAAGCATGAACAGTCTCACATGAATTCAAATTTATAGCTGGAATTGTAACAATGATAGGATTTGATGTTTCATTAGTATTCTCTCCACTTTAAGCCTTTCTTCAGAAATGATTCTTGAAGTCAGATTTATAACTTACCCTCTTTACTTCAGGAAGGATTTTAACAAAACCTATTCAGTGAAATTGGGATTCAGGTAGAGAACTGAACAGGATCGTGGAGAAAAATTGCAGATCTGAGGTCTATTTAAAAAAAAACTTTTTAAGCAAATTTCACCTGTAAGATAGGGCATAGTTACTTCATTTGTTATCCCACTGCTCAAACAAATTGATGCAGCACTACTCCAGTGCCAGCTTTTGATTGAAATAAATTGTAGTTTGCAATCTTACCTTCACAAAGCAGTTTTTGTGTCCTGGGACTGATCCATGAACATAAAGGATATTCTCTTTTGTATTCACTCTCCAGACCTACAAATGCATAAACACCTTTCTAATAAATAAATTTACAGCAGAAGAACCTTATAGACAGTTTACCTGTGCAAAGAACACATTCTGTCAAGAGGTATAATGGTAAATTCTCCAAGACTGTACACCAACAGAGAACCACACCTGTCAGTGCAGAGATCAAAAAGAGAATAAAATAATTGCGTGTGTGAGACACATGATTTTCCTTCTACCATTTGGTTGCTCGTCCCTAGTCTACCTCCTTTCAAGCTCTTCTCAAAAATTAAAACTGAAATGCACACCATCCTCTACTCCATTTACACCCAGTCTAAGATCAAACTGACTTGGGTTTTCCTCATATAGCAAGAAAGGCCAGGTATTAAATAGGACCTACTGAGTATAAAGAATTTGCATTTATGTAGCACCTATCAACATTGTGGTGTCCTAAACTGCTTCATAGCCTAATAACTGATTTGCAGTCTAGTTAACACTGAAATATATAGAGATGCAACACAGATGTATTTGGCAACTAAACCACAGACAGCAAAACTATTCTAATTAGTAAGCCAAATATTACTACTGATCAAAATACATCAGGTATTGACCGAACTTACAGCAGAGACAAACAATCTGTCTCACAACATGCTTCTGCAAATTGTGAAACATGACTAAAGCTAGAAGTGTTTCTAAGTAAATGTTGTTATTTCTGCATCAAGTGCTGTTGTGGATTTCAAGTCTCAAGAATGAAGATCGAAAGGTTTGACTAAGCTCTTCAAATCATTTTAACATCTGCCATCTACAACATAATTCATATAATTCCGTGCTACAAAGTTTTCCCAACTGAGTTTGTGATGCAGAACAACGCCAACAGCACAGATTCAAATTCCATACCAGCTGACGTTACCATAAAGATCCTTCCTTCTCAATCTCGCCCCCTCCTTTAAGACACAGTGACCCTCAGGTTAAACCATCACCAGCAGTCTCATGGTCCTCCAGGATTACGGCAAATTTACTTCTACTTTAGCCTCAAATGTAAAAAAAAATGCACAGAACAAACTTTTATTCTTTGAAGTTTCACCATTGTCTTGTTTTAGTCAAATATCGCAAATGCACTAGACAACCAATTATGGCAAAAATTGAAGGAAATACAGTAACTTTTTCTCCCAGTACCTGATTCTGACCCCAGGTTTAATCACATATAGGCATACTTGACAAATCTGACCTTTAATCCAAATGCTGTTCTATAGACGTTTCCCATTTTTCCAGGCATTTTCTTCCCAGGAAAAACTCTGGCAGGGTCCTGCATTCACAATGACAAGAAATTCCTTGTGACACAAATGGATAAGATTCAACAGTTCAACACGAAGTTATACATTTTTTAAATCATTGTTCATGGGATGTAGGCATCACTGACTCAGCTGGCAATTATTGCCCATTCCGAATTGCCCAAGAGAAGGTTTGTTGAGCTGTCTTCTTGAATCACTACACACCGACTGCACTTTTGGGAAAGGACTTCCAGGATTTTGCCCCAGTGATAATGTGGCAACAGTAATATTGTTTCAAATCAGGATGGTGTGTAGCTTGGAGGGGAATAGACAAGTGGTGATGTCCCTACGCACCTGCTACTCTTGACCCTCTAGGTGGTAAAGGTCATGAATTCAGTTGTGTTGTCAACAAAGATTGCATATACAGCCATCACTGTGCCCAGTGATGAAGGAAGTGAACACTGAATGCATTAGATGTGGTTCCAACTGTTAGAACCCTTGCTAATTTTTCATTATTTTATACTTTATCAATCTTGATTAGGAGTTGTGAACTGAGAACTGAAAATTACCTTTGGATTGTAGGCATTGGCTTGTGTGGGAAATAAAGAAAGTGGGAATAAACAAATTATTGTTTGTTTGTGAGGCCAGGGCTGGAAGTCAATTCCAGGTTGGTTCCTGATCAAAAGGTTCCACAGGGTCTTCGGCACCAGCGAAGAATAGTATATTTAAATAGATATTTGGACACAATAGAGGGCTGTTTCTAGAAACTGGTTCTAGCAAGGCTGGGAGAGGCGTTATGCTCAAGCAAATGGCAGATATTGAATGGTAACTGGGACCTCATGGAGACATGGTCACTCTGACAGGGAGTGGCCAGAGTTTGAATTGGGGTTTTGGACAGAGTTTTCTGTGATGAGTTTGGCTGTTGACGCTACAGCATGAAGACTTGAAATCTACCTACTCAACTTCCTGTTGCCAGCTATTGGAAGTTCAGACAGTAGAAACTAAGTTACCAGTTTCACTGACGTCCTCTGAAGGAAGTGTAAAGGTGGCCCTGGTCAACATCTTTGGCAACTTTTTCAAGAAACAATCCTACATGTGGAACAGCGCATCATGAAAACCACTTAAATAATTTGTCCCGTTTTGTTATTTTCTTTTATTTTTCCCTTAACATGTTTGTTCATCTGTCTGACTTTTGTGTGAACTGGGTGGTAACAGAAGTTATTGGGTTTAAATCATAGACATTAATCAGATTACTCTGTTGTTTAATTTTGTTCTGCTAAAGCTATTGTATTGTTAATAAATTGCTAGTCTTTTGTTTAAGATACAAACCCAATGTCTAGAATTGATTATTTTCAGATTTTGAGATTGATTATTTTAAAGTCTGGTTAGGAACCACTGGGGTCAACGTTGAGGATCTTTGAAGGTTTTAATTCTTTGTCTTTTCTCAAATATAAAGGTAGAAAGGCTGATTTGTTTCAGTGGAATGTTTCTGTGTTATAACACAACCACATGGGCAGTTTTATCCTCAAGACTTCACATTACTTTGTATATATTGTGACTTGCATTTAGGATATTTTCAGTATAAAGTCTATAATCAATTTATTAAGCTACCGGTTAAATCATTATGTTATTTAGATATATTGGTATAAATATCTTCACCTACAGAATTCTAATATTCCACACATTTATTTAAAAAACTCAATATCTTAATTATGGTTACAAAAAAATTCATATGAAATTTAAGAAACAGATTAAAATTTGGGCACAAAAGTGCAAAAACATGACGAGACTGTGAAATGTGAGGGGGACACTGAACTCAAGTCAATAAACCACACTCTGTTTTATCTATTCATTTGAAGTAAACAACACTCTGAAATTGGCTATTTACTCATCGTTACTATGCAATGAGATGCAATTTCTGAAATTGTGTTTTCAAATGCAAATAATACATTAGAATGCCACTGTAGCTACTGCTGACCAGACAGATTGCATTGAATCTGGAAGCCAAGGCCATCCAAATGAACCAAACATCATAACAATAAATGCTGGAGATCGCAGCGATCAGACAGCATCCATGGAGAGAGAGCAAGTTAATGTTTCGAGTCTAGATGACTCTTCATCAGAGCTGAAGGGAAGTGTAAAGGGGGCAGCATTTATTTTATAGTTGGAGGGATGGGAGAGGTGGTGGGGTATAGATTGCTGATGGAGAAAAGATGTTAATAGTCACATTCCAATCATTTAATATGAACTGTCAACATCTCTTCTCCACTAGCACTCTACACCCCACCACTGCCACTGGCCCCTAACTACAGCATAAATGTTGTCCCCTCCACACTTCGTCAGCTCTGATGAAAAGTCATCTAGACTGGAAACGTTAGCTTGCTCTCTCTCCATGGATGCTGTCTGATCTGCTGTCATCTCCAGCATTTCTTGTTGTCAGTACTGATTCCAGCATCTGCAGTGATTTGCTCCTACATCATAACAAACTGTCTCAGATCCTGTGCTAACAGAATGGAAGAGCTTAAGGCCTTGAATTGTTGAAGCAGATGAATAACGATGATTCAGTTTGTTCTAAGGTGCTTAGTCATGTCGGAAATGCTCCTTCCATAAGTAACAGAATGATACTTACACCCCCGGGGCCTGATGCTCCTGGCCTCCTATGGGTTTTCGTCTGTCCATGAGTTGCAGGCTGACCTTTAAATCCCCACCTTTTCATAACTCCCTGAAAACCTTTGCCAATTCTGCAAGAAGTTCACAAGATTAGAATTGTTTTTTGCATTTGAGAATTACAGCCTCAAAATTGCACACCATAATTCACATGCATTCCTCTCAGGCGCTTATAATACACTGACAAAACAAAATTAATCAAGAAGTCTTAGAACATATGACATTGGTGAAATGTAGTCTAATTTTAAAGGAAAATCATAGATTGTTTCTAAGAGTGTGGGAGGCAGGTTCAATCAAGGCCTTCAAGAGGGAACTGGATTATTATTTGGAAAGAAGAATACGCAGAGCTATGAGAAGGCGAGGAAACGTGTTATTAATCTAAAGAGCTAGAGCAAAGACAGGCATACTTCTCCCAGGTAACAATTCTACAACTGGAAAGAGCAGTACAACACAATCAGCATTCCATAAGAGATATTTACACTTTTTCTGCATGCTATCCCTCTGTGCAGTTTTTACTGTACAAGGAGGTCAGTTACCTCAGTCGGCTAGGCGACTGGTGCAGTTACACCAATACCGTGGGTTCAATCCCTGCACTGGCTGAGGTTACCATGAAGGACTCTCCTTGTCAATGTCTCCCCTTGCCTGAGGTGTGGTGACCTTCAGGTTAAACCACCCACCACTCATCTCTCTCTCTGACAACATAGCCCTGCTTTTTTATTAATGAGAGAGATCTAGGCGTTCAGGAACATAGTTTCTTCAAAGGTGCATCACAGGTAGACTGGGCCGTTAAACCGACATTTGTACACTTGCCTTCATTGGTCAGAGCATTGAGTATAGGAGCTCGGACATCATATTGCAGTTGTACAGGACATTGGTGAGGTTACTTTTGGAGTACTGTGTACAATTCTGGTCGCCCTGCTATAGGAACTGTAATGGACCAGACCAAACCCTCTCATAATACATTCAGAAGATAGTCTAGACACTAAATTTTTCCTATTTTAAAGGTAACTGTAAGCGTTGCGTTCCAGATTCAATTCAATTGTTCAAACTATCGACTTTAAACAAAGCACACGTTGTTTTTACACAACAGTTAACATACAGACAAAAAAAAATTAGGTTAATTGCAACTCCACTGAAGCACTTAACGAAATAGTATGTATACGAACAACTACTAATTAACTGCTCCAATATAGTGACATCCCATAAACACATCCTTGGCAAAGGCAAGTTCAGTAAAATAAATTGTCTCTCAAGCAGAGAACCCCAGCTTTTAGCTGTAACAGAGAGAGGAATAAGAGCTTCTACATTCAGTTTCAACACCCTAGCAACGACAGAAAGCTGAAACTAAAAATTCTGGTTCTGGTGGAGCTTGACCCCACCCATTCAGGTTGCTTCTATTGTTCCAACTTTTTTTTAAAAACACAAGGCCTCACAAGCTGTTTACTTTAATGACTTTGAACAGGCTGCTTGTTACCTCTGTCTCAAATTTTTTTCTTAAAAACAGGAAAAATACACCCTTTAAAGCCAGAGTATTGTGACAAAAGGATATTATTGAATTGGAAAGGGTGCAGAAAAGATTTACAAGGATATTATGGGGACAGGAGGGTTTGAGTTATAAGGAGAGGTTGGATAGACTGAGACTTTTTTACTGGAGTGTAGGAGGTTGAAGGTTGACCTTATAGAGGTTTATAAAAATCATGAGTGGCATAAATAAGCTCTTTTCCCGAGGGTAGGGGAGTTCAAAACTAGACAGCATAATTTTAAAAGGTGACAGAAGAAAGACTGAAAAGGGACCCAAGGGGCAACAAACCACAGAGGGTGGTTTGTATGTGGAATGAACTACCAGAGGAAGAAGTAAATGCAGATACAGTTACAAAACCTACAACATATTTAGATATGTACATGAATAGGAAAGGTTTAGAAGATATGGGCCAAACGCAAGCAAATGGGACTAGTTTCGTTTGGGAAACCTGGTTGACATGGACAAATTGGTCCAAAAGGTCTGTTTCTATGTTGTATGACTCTATGACTATGGCAACTTTACCTTTTACCTAACATGTACAGTGTATTACAAATGTAAGTTAAATTTATTTTGTGAGCATAAAGTTGTTTAAAGACTACATTGCTGTAGGCAATCATTTCATGTGCCAGCATGAACTAGCTTGTGAAAGGCATCTGATTTTCTGGTCACCATCATTTGACATTCCCCGAGAATGAGATGAATGAAGATTTTACTTCAAGGCTTCAACACTTGCGCTGTAACATTCTTTTGGTAATACTGCATTGAATACAGTGCAAGAATGTGATTATTTGTGCTCTGATACAGCACAGGTTAACTCAATTATTTAATAGGTAAGTTGCTTAATAGGGGAAGACTCTATTCCTAACAATATATAATTAAGCGGAGATGAGAACTGTTGTATAATTTATTCTTTGCAGCAAAATTGCAACTTTTCAAACATTTCACAGGAATCTGTGTATCTTACTAAATGGGACACATCCCACGCATGACGAAGTATTCCAAGTCAATATATTTTCATGTTAAATGCTGCATTTGACTTGGCTCGTATTTCATTAAGAAAGCTATTTTCAATCTTGAGATGGAGGGGTTCCAGGCCTTTTTCTCCCCTCAAATCAGCCTGCTTTTCTCAATCAAAGTTCAGGCTTACTGCATGTAACAATCACCTGAATGTCTGTACTACAAACTCTGGGATTTTTGGATTATGAATAGTTAAAAAGCAGGTAATTATTTTCATTCTCATTCTCATGAGGTATGCTGCCTGGGCAAAATTGTGTATAATTTTGCACTACACATGCTCAGTTCAGGTTCTGAACAAGTGTAAATACTGTTCTGTAACCTGCCAAAGCAACTTATTCTTTCTTCTGTGCAATGAGATGTCCGATGAACCCCTCTCTGCATTTCATTCCAACAATGTAGGCAACATCAGAAAGCAAGCAATTATGCACATAACAATGGCAAAAATCTTATGAAAAGTAAACACAATCCTGTTTTCCTTATAAGAGATAAATACCAGTAGATAGTCATCTTGGCCTCCTCCAGACGTTCCAGCATCTTAGAAGTCAGTTGTCAGCAAGTTCAATTCACTCCACATGATATCAAGGAACGGTTGGAAGTATTGATTACTGCAAAGGCTACGGGCCCTGACAATATTCTGGCAAAAGCACTGAAGATTTGTGCTCCAGAACTTGCCACGCCCCTAGCCAAGCTCTTCCAGTACAGCTACAACAAGGACATCTACCCGACAGAATGCTCAGGTATGTGCTGTACACAAAAATGAGAAATCCAATCCAGCCTATTCTCGATTATCAGTAAAGTGATGGAAAGTGTCATCAACATCAAGCAGCATGTGTTCAGCAATACCCTGCTCAGTGACACCCAGTTTGGGTTCCACCATGGCCATTCAGATCCTGACCTCATTATAGTCTTGGTTCAAATATGGACAAAAGAACTGAATTTCAGAGGTGAGGTGAGAGTGACAGCCCTTGACATGAAGGCTGCATTTGACCGAATGTAACATCAAGGGGTCCTAGTAAAATCGAAATCAATGGGTATCGGGGACAAACTCTCTGGTGGAGTCATACCTAGAACATAGGAAGACGGATGTGATTGTTGCAGGTCAGTCATCTCAGCTCCGAGGACATCTCTGTAGGAGTTTCTCAGGGTAGTATCCTCGGCCCAACCATCTTCAGCTGCTTGATCAATGACCTTTCCTCCATCATAAGGTGAAAACTGGGGATGCTCACTGATGTTTGCACAATTTTCAGCACCATTTGCGACTCCTCAGATACTTAAGCAGTCCATGTTCAAATGCAATAAGATCGAGACAATATCCAGGCTTGCGCTGGAAAGTGGCAAAAACATTCACATCACACAAATGCCAGGCAATGGCTACTTTCAACAGGAGACAATCTGTCCCCGCTTGACATTCAATGGCATTACATCACTGAGTTGGGGGGGGGTTTAGAATGTTATCATTTACCAGAAACTGACCCAAACCGGCCAAATAAACACAATGGCTACAAGAGCAGGTCAGAACCTTGGTATCCTGCAGTCTGTAACTCAAGTCCTAACTCCTCAAAGTTTGTCCACCATCCAGAAGGCACAAGTCAGGAATATGATGGAATACTCTCCACTTGTCTGGATGCGTGTAGCTCTAACAACACTCAAGCTCAAAACCATCTAGGACAAAGCAGGCCATCTGATTGGCACCATAACCACAACCATCCATTCCCTCCATCACCAACAGACATTAGCAGCAGTGTGTACCATCTACAAGCTACACTGCAGAAATTCACCAAAGCTCCTGAGACAGCACCTTCCAAATCCACAAACATTTCATGCAGACAGACAAGGGCAGCAGATACGTGGGAACACCACCACCTGCATGCTCTCCTCTGAGTCACTCACCAATCTGACTTGGAAATATATCACTATTCCTTCAGTGTCGCTGGGTCGAAATCCTTTCCCTAACAGCACTATGGGTCAAGATACAGCACAAGGACTGCAGTGGTTCAGGAAGGCAGCCCACCACCACCTTCTCAAGGACAATTAAGGATAGGTAATAAATGCTGGCCTAGTTACCAATGCCCGATTAGCTCAGCTGGTTGGATGCAAAGGGATGCTGACACAGCATGGATTCAGTTCAGACACCAGCTGTGCTCACCATGAAGGATTCGCCTTCTTTACCTCACCCCTTGCCCGAGGCATGGAGACCGTCAGGTTAAACTCACTACCAGTCGCCTCTCTCTGTGAAAGAGCAGCCCTCTGGGACTACAGCAACTTCACTTTATGTTATAATCATGACTACACATCAACATTTGTGTATTGCTGCAACCAGTCAGCAACCTGCATTTTTTTTTTTAGGCGGTATAATTTTTTTTTCCACGTTGCTTTTCATTTATTTCAATAGAATTTCCATCATGTTTCTACAGCAGCAGCGTCAACAACAGGCAGCTGAGGGATAAATGAAGGACTCAAAGACTACTGAATTTTTAACTTGGATCAGAGATAGTAGGAATTGCAGATGCTGGAGAATCCGAGACAACAAGGTGC